TCATTTCTCACTTTCTATCTCTCTGTCTCTCTCAGTCTGTCTGGCGAGCGCATGTGCCCTATAGCAAAAACCTCTCCCCCCCAAAAAAAATAATAATAAATCAAATTAAATAAATACTTTTTAAAATGATGAATAAAATTAAATAATTTTAAAAGACTATTTTATTTTATTTATTCATTCTTTTATTTTAATTTGACCAGAGAGAAACAAAGAGAGAGAGGAAAAGTGAGAAAGCAAGTCACCAGGTCTGGGACTTGAATCTGGACTCGAACTCGAACCTGTGTTTGGCCATGTGGGAGTGCCCAGCGCCTTAGCCACCATACCACCTGCTGGCTCCTTAAATAATCCTTTCAAAGGAAAAAGATTACTGAACATTGGAGGTCTAGGATAGCTGGCTGAAGATAGAAACCTGAAGTGGGTACACTCATCGGTCTGTTCTAGAATCCACCCTTGCATCAGCCCAAGAGAAGACAGACAGGCTTTTGGGTCCTGGTGGTTACCATCTCCCTCAAGAAGTGTGAATGTGGACTTGTCTTTCCCCCCTTCTGGCTGTCCTGCTTGCTACAGTTCCCTTGTCTTCTGTGCTAAGCAAGTTGAATGAGCTGAGATCACTTTGAATAACCCCTCAGCGACGCACTTGGGTCTCAGGCAGATGATAAAAGATCAGCTCTGTAGTTTTGCCCAGGGCCTACACAAGAGGTAAACATATTGCAGAGACCTGATAGCTTGGCTGATCTTTATTACTTTTTGTTTTTTAATAAGAATTATCTATTTAGTTTCCAGCAGATGAAATAATGGTTATGTTGCTGAACTCACATGTAGTTGACTACAGTTTGAGTCCCAGACCTAGAGGCTTGAAATTCACACAGGGCACATGTACGTGTATGCCCAAAATCCTGAGAGGAAAAGAGATTGCAGAATGGCCATACCACCAGGGAGGGGGGGTGATTTTTCACTTTCTATCTCTCTGTCTCTCTGGCTAGGGCACACACCCTATGGCAAAAATCTCTTGTGAAAGAAAAAAGTCATTGGGACTTAAACTGCGGTTGATCGTGTGGTAGTCCAGCGCCCTAACTACCAAACCATCTGCCAGCCCTGACCTTTATCCTCAATGACATGGTCACAGCCTTCCTACCTATGGTTCTGAAGTTCTAAGAGCAACTTCAGTAGTGTCCCAGCAATGGGGGCGTGACTATTTTCTATTTATTATTGTGTGTTTGTTTTTTGATAATTTTCCAGAGGGGGTGGGGAGGTGTGTGCTCACCAGAGTAAGAGAGAGAGTGAGAAAACACCCCTTATGGGTGATGTTCATTTCACAATTCCTTTTTCCTGATTCTCCTCTCGGGATTTTGGGCACATGTACACAAATGCAAGTCCAGTGTATTTTTCAAGCTGCCAGATCTGGGACTTGAACCATGCAATCAGCCATGTGGCATCCAGCTGCCCAATCCACCACACTACCAGCTGGTCCCCTTGGCTATTTTCAAGAATAAAAGTTGGGGACCTGCAGGTGGCATGGTGGTTAAGGTGCTGGACACTCCCATATGGCCAACCATGGTTCGAGTCCCAGACCTGGTTGCTTGCTTTCTCACTTTCTCTCTCTCTGTCAGTCTCTGGTCAAATTAAAATAAATGAAGGACCAGCAGTTAGTGTAATGGCTATGTCGCTGGACTCCCACATAGTTGACCGCAGCTCGTGTCCCGGACCCGGTGGCTTAAAACTCAAGCCGGGCACGTGTGTGTGCGTGCCCAAGATCCCGAGAGGAGAATGGAGGAGAAGGGATTGCGGTGTAACCATCCCCCCTGGGGGGTGATTTCTCACTTTCTGTCTCTATGTCTCTGTCTGGCAAGCGCACGCGCCCTATAACAAAAACCTCTCAAAAAAAAATTAAAATAAATGAATGAGTAAATCTTTATTTTTTTTTTTTAAAAGGATAAAACTTGGTGTTTCTTCTTGATTCTCATCTTTTAAAAAACAAACATTTTATTTGCTTTATAGGAACAAGGTCTTAATGAAAAGTCTCCAGTGGGATTAGAATACCAAGAAAAGGGCCCATCTGTGGTTGTAATTCCTGTTGGAAAAGTTGAACAGTCCACTCCTCTGTGACCCAGATGGCTGAACTCTGGTCGTGCAGACTGGTGGGATAAGATGGTACCCTTGGACCTCCGACAGTGCCTGCTGCCTCCCAGGTTGTACGGAGACTTGGAAAATGGAAAAGACTTTAACAAAGGGCCATCCATTCCATTATTAAGATAAACACGTTCCTACTACCAAATGTCTACCCTTCTGAACTAGAAAGGACTTCTTCAGCAGCTCTGTGAAGTGGCAACTTCCTCAATGGTGCACTGTGGAGGAGAGGGGACAGGAAACTCATTTGCTTTGTGTTGGAGTTTTTCCTCCAAAGGATACTGATGACTTAGGAGACCTTCCATTCTCATTGTAAATTGAATAAATGTAAATACTTGAAAACAAAGAAAGGCTGTTATTCTCCCCCCACAATCTTGCCCCAAACATATGGTTTTTAATGAGCAAAGCAATTTCTTTCTTTCTTTCTTTCTTTTTTTTTTTTTGGAGAGTTTTTTGCTATAGGGCGTGTGTACTCACCAAAAAGCAAGAGACATGAGAAGTCACCCCCCCAGGGGGAATGGCCACACTGAATCCATTTTCCTTCATTCTCCTCTCAGGATCTTGGGCACACATGCACACACGCCCAGCGTGAGTTTAAGCCACCGGGTCTGGGACTCACCGCAGTCAACTACATGGGAGTTCAGTGACATAGCCATTACACTAACTGCTGATCCCAAGCAAAGCAATTTGTCCTTAACCGAAGATTCAAACTTCATGTGAACAGGAATGGTAGAAACAAATTCATTTTCAGAGGTGATACAATGGGAAGTACAAAATACAACTGATAATTTATTTGCCAAAAATATTAAATGTGACTAATCAAAAGGAAGCAATCAGTCCTAATGTAACTTGTCTCCTAATTATTACTGTATGAGGCTATCTTGTTTTGGGTGACAGTTACTTGGATATATTCATAAAAATAATAGCGCTTTGCACTTAAATGTGTATATATTTACCATATATGTCATATGCCCTTTTTTTTTTTACAAAGCAAAAGAAAATTATTTATTTTAATTTGACCATAGAAGAAAAGTAAAAAAGCAAGTCATCAGGTCTAGGACTCGAACCACGGTCAGCCATGTGGGAGTTCAACACTTTCACGACAAACCTGCCAGTCCCATATATAACATTCTTTATTAAATGTGTATATATTTACCATATATGTCATATGCCCTTTTTTTTTTTACAAAGCAAAAGAAAATTATTTATTTTAATTTGACCATAGAAGAAAAGTAAAAAAGCAAGTCATCAGGTCTAGGACTCGAACCACGGTCAGCCATGTGGGAGTTCAACACTTTCACGACAAACCTGCCAGTCCCATATATAACATTCTTTAAAAGTGGCCTGGTTTGGGAACCAGCAGTTAGAGTAATGGCTATGTTGCTGGATTCCCATGTAGTTGACTACGGTTCGCGACCCGGACCCAGTGGCTTAAAACTTACGCTGGGCGCGTGTGCGTGCGTGCTCAAGATCCCGAGAGGA